TAAGTGCGTTCCTTGACTTCCGATCACCGTCCGCCTGCGAAACGCTAAGTGCGTTCCTTGACTTCCGATCACCGTCCACCTGCGAAACGCTAAGTGCGTTCCTTGACTTCCGATCACCGTCCGCCTGCGAAACGCTAAGTACGTTCCTTGACTTCCGATCACCGTCCGCCTGCGAAATGTTAAGTGCGTTCCTTGACTTCCGATCACCGTCCGCCTGCGAAGCGCTAAGTGCGTTCCTTGACTTCCTGTGACCGTCTGCCTGCGAAACGCTGTGAGCGTTCCTTGACTTTCGACCACCGTCCGCCTGCGAAACGCTAAGTGCGTTCCTTGACTTCCCGTGACCGTCCGCCTGCGAAACGCTGTGAGCATTCCTTGACTTCCGACCACCGTCCGCCTGCGAAACGCTAAGTGCGTTCCTTGACTTCCCGTGACCGTCCGCCTGCAAAACGCTAAGTGTGTTCCTTGACTTCCCGTGACCGTCCGCCTGCGAAACGCTAAGTGCGTTCCTTAACTTCCGACCACCGTCCGCCTGCGAAACGCTAAGTGCGTTCCTTGACTTTCGACCACCGTCCGCCTACGAAACGCTGTGAGCGTTCCTTGACTTCTCAGTTGCCGTTCTGAGAGCGTTCCTTGACTTCTCAGTAACTGTCCAGATAGCGTTCCTTGACTTCTCAGTAACCGTCCAGAGAGCGTTCCTTAACTTCTCGGTCACCGTCCGCCTGCGAAACACTGAGAGCGTTCCTTGACTTCTCAGTTAGCGTCCAGAGAGCGCTCCTTGGCTTCTCAGTAACTGTCCAGAGAGCAATCCTTGGCTTCTCGGTAACCGTCCAGAAAGGTTTCAATCAGGGGAAAAACGTTGTGGCATTATACGTACAGTATTTATGGATTTTTATTGTGATGCCATATCTGTTGCTCATTGGTGAATTGATGGAAAATAAATCGACTTGTTTATTTTATTTTACGTGACGCGTGCGAATAAACGGAAAATTCACGTGACTATCGTGACCTTTATATAGTCACGACTTCTAATAATACTGTACTATATTTATAAGTTTTCGTTCACAATAATCAAAAAACATTTTAGATGGCTTAAGAAAAACTTGAAAGATAATATCAGAAACACCTTAGATTCAACAATTGAGTGTTTGCTTTGGCTGGGCTCTCCAATGGATGGAAAGATTGCTATTAGTGAACAAAAAAAAACTTTGCTATCATTAATGAAAGCTCTGTTGAAAAATAACCAGGAAAAAGAATAATTTCAAATAAAATTAAATCATACTATTTCTTTATTATATATATTTAGTTTTTAAAGTTTTTCTATTATTTGATTTATACTATTTTGAGTTTTATAAAGTTTTTTTTTTTTTTATCAATTCTACTAAAAATATTAAATTATTAAGAATAAAGTTTTTTAAATTATTTATTTGAATAAAATATTTGAAAATCATTGTTTTTAATAATTTTTAAATTTTTAAAAAACAAATTAAAATAATAATTTTTATAATTTTTTTTTATTTTTAAAGTTGATAGAGTATCTTTTGACTATCTAATAGATTTAACTGTTTATGAAACTGATGTTTGTGTTTTCTATTCTTTTTGAACAATAATATTAATTAATATATAATATATTATTAATAAACTCTTTTCGCTGATCCCTTTGCCAACACAAAAAACAGATGTTTCAAGGAAATTTTTATATTTCTTTGTAATAAAGTCTATACACTTTTATTAACAACACTCATATCAAGAGACTATAGTCTCCCCTACTTGTTTTTTTCTTTCTTTGATATAAACTTCTTGTATTTCTGCGAATAAATATAAGAAATATCTACCTATAAAGTTAAAGGCAAAAAAACTTTATTAAAAAAAAGAACCTATGGAAAAAACACTCTCCTCTCTTCTTCCAGAAATTTAAGACTCTAGAAAAGACTGACACAGTTTTTGAAACTCTTCTCTCATCTTCCTTAAGCTTCCTCCTATATTTTCAAGCGAGTAAACTTTTTCCTGATTTTTCTGAAAAATTTGCCTACTTCAGTTTGACCCTGAATTTCTGATTACACCAGAATCCTTGAATAGTGTTGGCTTGAATTTAGGAACTGATTGATCTACATGTAGCAAGAAATATAAACAAGACATGTAACTTTTATGTGCCCTATCTCATACAACATAAAATTCAATGATGCAATTGGATATAGTGAAAGAGCAAGTTGATGAGGTGCTCTTTTTGTTAAGAAGTGTTATGATGTTGCCCTCCCCTCTTGGACTGGTTTCTTTTCTCTTCAATATCAAAAGAAATTTTATTCCAATCCAGTAATAGGCTTCCTCTATTGTTGATTATCCTGAAAATAATTGGAGAAAAGAGTCTTGAAATTATTCACTGGTTGAAAGAAACTATAAATTCTTGAAGATTAGGCTGGAAGAGAAATCACCAATTAAAATATTAATCCTTTCTAAAGGTTAGAAGTCTTCGAGCATAAAATTTCAAGAATTACTCTTCTGGAAATGCTCTTAAATATTCTTGGTTAACAATGGAATAGTAGAAATTAAATGGTTTGCCCAGTTGCAAATAGTGATAAAGAATTTATCCCAATGGATTGAAGTTAATATTGGAGAATTTTTATTTATTAGAACAAACTTTTCTACTACCTTTTTAATTCCTTTTTAATTTCTTAAAAAATAAAAAAATTTTTACCTCTTAGAACCACAGGTTCATATTGGGATGATAGTTTAAATATAGGCTGACAATAATTTTTCTCAAGACCAAAGATCAGTCTTGGAAAAGGAGCGATTTTATTATTCTCTACAATTACACTTAGAGAGTTATATAGCTTATTGACAGGTATTCTGCATTACAGTTTAGTTCTAATATATAGCCTTAAATCTTAATGTATTATTGTAATATTTCTTTAAAGAATAATAAATACAACGAATGTAGTCTGATTAGAGGAAAAAAAAATAATAATAATATATCTATTAATATATACAGTAAAATAATAGCACTCTTCAAACATAAACTAGCTCTCTCAACAATGGCAATCAACAGTGGAATCCATCTCCACACAGGATATAAAATCTTTAATATATATAACAAACAGATTAAACTAATAACTACAAGATAGCTTCAAGACCTCAATGAGATAAACATCATGGGACAAATTACAAGAACAAGATTATAGCATCTATAGAACTGGGCATGGACTATCAAAAATATCCTGCAGGCTTAATACAATACTATGACAGCCTCACAAAAAAACCTAACAGCACTGATCCTAAATATACTAAAACTAAATGATCTCTAGATAAGGTCAACAGCAGTACACAAATTGATGTTATCACTACTGTGATCAAAATCCGTTTGATCCGTATCCGAGTGGTAGTTTTTAGAAGGAATTAGAGATTATATAGAACAGTC